GGCATGTTTTTATAGAGTCATTTTAACTCAATAAACAACTCTGCCAACTTTCAGGCTTGCAGCAATTCCCCCCATTTTTATCTTATATCAAAAAAGATAACACCAAAAAAGAATTATCAAATTCGGTTGAAGAATTTAATTTTTAATTGAATAATAAAATACAGATAAATCGATAAACATCTTTTGAAAAGTTAAAAATAAACATCGTATTGCTGACCAAAATATACTTTTCGAGACCGCATCTAATCGGAACACATAATCAGATAACTTCGGTAAACTATGCTTAAACTTCCGCAAAATACATCATAACTCCAACTGACATTCTGTCAATAGTTATAGAACAACTATCGAACTTTCTAAGAATTTATTAATACTCCTGAATCTATTCCATACTTCTATATTTCTTGGTATAAACGTGTTTTTTTTATGGGTGAAAATGGTATGGTGACCCCGCCTGCGCTAACGGGATATGCTGGCGGAGCACCAGTGAAGGGTGATAGATGAGAATAAAAACAGGCCAGTTAGCGCATCATGATGAATTCATCAAGAATTAACCATGATAGTTTCCAAAGGGAACCACGAGGTGGTCGACCTGGTTGGGTATATTGCTAGCAATAGGATTGTCAGTCTCCATTACTAACAATCCCTTTCCCACCCGGTATAGACGTATTAGTAATAATAACAAATTTAATACACATATTTCACTTTGTTATTCATAACCATCAGTAATTGGTATTAAGTAATATCAATTATTAATGATACCAGAGGGAGACTTTGTACAAAAGTCGATTGCTTGGGTACCTCTGTCCCATTCGTGTTTCAACCGTGAAGCAGTTGTGTTTGCATGGCTGTGTTTCCGTTTGAAGGGTGGGATATGGCGTGAATTTACTGGGTACAGAGGAATAACACCTGAGTCCTCAGGAATGGCAACGCATAGGGGGTATCATGAGCGAAACAGTATACTTTGTTATGTCTATGGTACTGCTCATGTCTATAGGCAACAGTTACCAATTTCCATCAGGTGAGACGTTAGCTGGTTTGCCATTTTAAGTTGCATAATAAAACGACAAAAACAGAGTGAGTTCATTAATTTCCCGTTACATATATATATATATATAGACATCGGATAAAAATTAGCATAAGTTTAAAAAAAAATGGTATTATAATTATCAAAATAGATTATTGTAACTATATGTATACATGTAGTGCCTTCTAATTCAGGATTTCTCAAATTTTTGCAATCACAGTTTCACAATTTAATCAATTCCACGGACCCTTGTGAAAAATATTTAAGTTCGATCCTAAAATATAAGAAAATAAAAAAGGCTTCCTTTAATTTAAAAAAATAAAAACTTTGCTAATTTTATTAGTTACTACACTACGCACTGATATAATGCGTAATTACCTCTGTCTATTTATTGAATTCGCCGCCTGACGATGACGATGCGTCTCGTCGAGTTTACTACACAATTCCCTAATAAATATTTTTACAGTTAACTGACCTACTGCGGACCCCTGATACACGTGCTAAGGATCCCTAAAAACCACTTTAAGACTCCCTCTTCTAGTCCATTTCAATGGAACATAATAAAAATATAAACAAACAACTATAGTCATCAAATGTCCAATAATAGTATAAATAAAAAATGGATTAATTAATTGTACGTTACAATTCGCTACTAATTACATTTGCAGAGTGTTAACGTGATAATTACAACAAAACTTGGTTAGAATTAAGTTCTATTGGAATAGACAAGAGTTTCGACCGCGAAACGTGACACACGAAAACGTGACTCCCGTACGATGCCATTATGTGTCCTCAGAGAAAGAAATAGGTGAATTTTTAAATAAATCAAACAGCAATTTATAAAATTTATAGGTTTTATATAAAATTTTCTTATATTATATATATATATAAGTTAAATTGAAAAATATAAATGATTCAAATTTCTTACGAATATATTTGAAAGAACAATATAAACACAACATAATGATTCGTACTGATACTTATCTTTACTGATTACTTGAATTTATATTGAAATATATACTTATGTGTATTCGTTTGAAAATGGCCGCCATTTTATTTAATGCATGTATATTAATTAGTTAAGAATACGTATATACATATGTATATTTATATAATATTAGAAGAAATAGTTCCCAATTTAAGTTTAATAAATCGACTGGATGGGGAAATTTTTTATCTTATTATTTGCAATATTAATAAAAAAAATATGTATCAAACTACGTCAGTCAAATGTAAATTTAGCTGACTAAATGTTGACATGTTTTTTTAAATGTTGACTAACTGTATTATTTAAGGAAACTTCATTATTTAATTCTAGGATCGTTAACAAACATTGTCCAATTGAAATCCAGCCATGTGTTCCCAGCATAGTATGGTACTCCCTTCCTTGTAAGAGAATTTAATGATTGAGAGATCTAACTGTAGTTTTCAACCGACTTGTCAAACATGGCAACTACAGGCAAAACCCCTGAAGCTATGTTCAGCAATAGACAATTAACGGGTGATATAATGATGATGCTTAGTGATGATGATTATCCAATTGGAAACTGTATAAATATTGACTATCAGAATATAAAAGATAAACGTAATAAATCTGTTAAGTGTACAATAAAGATTTTTATAGAACTTAACGACAAGTAATAACAGTTAACCGATATAGACACGGACAAAACCATAGAGATTACAGAATAAACTGTGGCGAGATATCAGAGCTTACAGCTCATATTTATTGTTTTTATTTAAATTTCGAATTCAAACTTTTTAATATAAATTCCTTTATATGTAGTATTGGTGCACAACTACTGGCAACACAACTACATAAACTGGTTTGTCTTTACCTTTCAATAAAGTATTCTAAATTTAAAAAATTGCAGATCAATGATCGATTTCTTTGTAAGCTTAGTACTATCCTATTATATTCGAAATAGCTTTTCGTAAACTTTTCTTTCCTTTATATTTTTTGTATTTTTGAAGGCAATTATGGACTTCAAAAAGAAGAAAGTTCTCAATTCGGTTGTATTCTTTTTAATGTTTGTTACCCCATAACTCCATCAATTATAAACCGATTTGGAAATTCTTTTTTTTTATCTGAAAAAAAATACTAACAGATTTTCCCATAGAAATTTTATCAAAATCAATTGAGTCATTTAGTTTGTATCAAAATTACTGGTTTTGCCACAATAGAAGTATTTTTATTTTGTCAAATACAATCTTAAATTATAAGAAAATCAAGTAAACATTTTATGAACAAAAACAAATCTCTGTCCCGGGAAACTTATTTCAATTTATCATGGAAGTAATTTGGCTCAACAATCTGAAACGAGACCTTGATCGGTAAAGCTATTAAGCTTCGTTCAGCGCGACTAAGAAATTACTATCCAGTGATAATTTAATAAATAAATACAGGCTTCGTATTATTTCTCACGACGACATCCCAAATTGAGAAATTAATTAATAATAAAGTAATGACGATTGTACAATATATAAAAATCACATTTAACAATATTCGTTCACGCTAATACTTGAAACTGTACTACTGATATACAAATTTACACATTTACAAAACTTTTAAGTGTTATTTATATATTAATTACATTTGAGATGTTTTGCGAGGGACCCTGCTGCCCAACCTTCTAATAAAACTATAGTCTATTTCAATAGAATATAATGAAAATGTAAACAAACATACAACTGACCCAGTTTACCGATGTCCAAAAATACCTAGTACAAATAACAAATTAAGTTCCATTGAAACGGATCGTGTACTCAGTCATTCATTCGGATAAGGTAAGCGGGGTAAAGGTGGAATTTCTTTCCACTTATCACCACTGGTAGAAATGAGTGGAAATTCATTTCCACTTGTCCCTATCGAGCGGCAAAGGTAAGTGGAAATAACATTTTATTTTATTTATTTATTTATCAGGGCCGGTCGTAAACTCGTACGTAGTACGAAAAATCAACAACAGGGAAATAAAGTTTATTGGACCACATAGTTTTTTATAAAAAGAAATTTAAATATAAAAAAAAACATATTCAGAATGTATTTTCGAAGCATTATTATGTTAATCTTGATACTAAATATACAAGGAAATTCCAAATCGCTAACGGTACGTAAAACTAAAAATCTACCCATGCTATAGAACATTATAATCAGTCGTTAACCTTCCTCTGTTGAACATAGGACTCCCCCATAAGGGGGTTTTGCCAGTACTTACCACACACATAAAAACAATAAAGTACTACTGTTGTAATAGATTGTGAATGTTAATCTTTGTCGGGTGCCCGCGATACAGGTTTGTATAGTATGAGGCCCATTGTATCTTATGGTTGTAATACTGGGGTAAAGGGTTCTTGTCCTCTAAGGACACTTGCAACACTAGAGATGTCACGTGCGCATTGCCGACCCTGAAGAAATCTTAATATACCCTTTTTGCAAAACTTTGAGGTTTTTCTTAGAGACTACATATTGTAGTCTAACTTTGGCGATAGTAAAACTTCGGCAGGAAGCTCATTCCACAGTCTGAGCGTTCGCGGGGAAAAATTCCTTTGAAACCGCATTGCACATGTACTGTACTGTACATTTAGGTTCAAACGTGTATCTGTTATACATGCGGTAGGAAACACACAAGGAGGCAAAGTTTAGCCTAAAACTTGAGGGCTCGATAGCGCCTCTAAGCATGGGATAAGCATGGGATTGTCGACTATTCTCATAGCTTATCTTTAAACGGATTCAAGAGGAACAAACTGACATCCAGAAGCTCCGGCCCACAATCCTCAGAAAATATAATACATCATAGTCCTCAGGAATGGCAACGTACAGGGGTACCATGGGCAATACAATACCATCTGTCATGTGCATAGTGCTGTTCATATCTATAGACGACGATTGCCACACTCCATCAAGTGGGCCATTAGCTTTTTTGACATTCTAAGTATTATAAAAGTAGGTAATAAATATACAACTCCAACTCACCTGACTCCATCCGTAAGCGCCAAGGAATCCGATAGTAATTGTCTTCTCCTCAGTCCAATTAGCACTAAAACTTGGACACAATTTTGCACTGCCGCAGTCACTATTCACTATATCGTACAAACTGACACCGTTCGCCTCAATTTTATCCATAGACACTTTCTCCTCGATCAAATTTGTTGTCACCCTTTCGTAAATATTATTTAAATAAACAGACTCTAGCATATTTGTATTATCGTATCGTATTTCGTCTACATTCGTAGTGTTTATAATCTCGCACTTCCTACGATACACGATTCCGTTGTCTTCAGTATTTTGTATTGTTTTTATGTTATTATCAACATCCGTTACATTGTAATTATAATCTGCATCTATGTTATCACTAATCACATTTACAGTACAATTTTCATCTGCCTCTGAATCGTTCGCTGTTAAAATTTCTACTCTTATCAGATCAGCTGTGGTGTTTTTTGTTGGTTTTGCTCCGATGCCTTTTAAAATCAATATTGCAACGTACAATATTATTATTCGATGCGCCATTTTGTATCTAATTCATTGTCGATATTAACATGGAGATCGTAGGGTTAATCTGAAAAAAAAAATTATATTATTTTTATAAATAAACATTGAAATATAATGTAATGTAAACTTTAATAGTTAAGTAAACTTAATTATAGTAGTTCTTTTTTATGAATCTACCGCCCAGTTTGGAATGCAATATCAACTGAAAAGAACGGCTAACAAACTCAACTGTTGCTGTCTTTCAAATAAAAGTTAAGTTTACAACAAGAATGGATAAAATAATTATCATAAATTTTATATCCATAAAAAGGAAAAAGGTAAATAAACTACAAAACTACAATCAATCACAATATTCTTGTACAGAGCAATTCCTACAAAAAACATTCGTTCACGAGTATGACGGATTAGCCAGCCATCATTGTGTTCAACCATATTATAAGGAGCCCAACGAACGGCCAACGACACTGCTACTATACTGGCATGACACTGACTCTATAGCCACCTGATTGTAAATGATTATAAAGTCCATCTGTGTGGGTCACAAGTCCAACGCAAGATTGCTTCTAACCTGTGGCCCACACTACAAAATGATGACCCATTTACACTACCCACTACAGAAGTAAATGTAACCTCTGTAGTATATCTTTTTACAGTTCCAATGCTATTAATACACTCAGAATACACTTCTTTTAAGATTATGGGCAATAAAAATCAGAATAAACATGGGAACCGTAAAATACCATTAGACAAGTATCTAGGGTGCATAATGATGTGTTACGGTGTATCGAATATCGACGTCAAACTTACGGCACGTGTAATTATTCGATGTTATTGCTATGGTATACTAGCTTTTACCTTCGACTTCGTTCTGTTACAACCTTGGCATATACATACCTATATTATTGCTGACTAGCAATATCATTTAATTCTATTTCAATTAGCAGTATTATGCCTACATATACAAACTCTAAATCAATTAGTTGCAATTGAGCTAGCCAAATTACTGCCCAGCTACGGACCTGGTTTCTGCCCGCCGGTCTGGCCAGTAAAACTAACTACTTAGATTCGGAGGGAAAGGGATTGTTAGTAACGGAGACTGAGAATCCCATTGCTAGCAATATACCCAACCAGGTCGACCTCCTCGCGATTCCCCCTGGAAACTATCATGGTTAATTCCTGATGAATTTATCATGATGGGTTAACTGGCCTGTTTTCATTCTCATCTATCACCCTTTTCTGGTGCTCCGTTAGCGTATCCCATTAGCGTAGGCGGAGTTACCGTTACCATACCATAAAAAAAAACTAGTCAGATTAATTCTCAATAAAACCCTGAATCAAAGGTCACACTGACAATTTAGAAGACCAGGATATGTTTATTAACCGGGTTAAAAAGTAGCCTGTATCCTTCTTCATTCCATACAGTACGTGTATACTTCAAAATGATTTGTCAAGCCGTTAAGGCGATATAAGGTAGCAAACAAACTCACTTTCACATTTATAATATTTAATAATCATTATTGTTACATTTTTGTCATGTGGTCCCGGCATAGAATAGGCTATCTCTTCCTTTCCCGTGTGTGTCGTAAAAGACGACTAAGGGACGGCGAAGGATGGGCAGCAGCGTCCCTCTTAAAACATCTCCAAAGCCTAACAGTGGTTGCCAATCCGCAAACCAAGCGTGGCAACTATTGGTGAAACGCTTAAGGAGGAGACTTATGTTAAACAGTGGACAGTTAAAGGCTGATATGCACATGAATTTTAGAAGTAAAAAACAGTGAAATACTTCTAAATAGGATATCGAGATAAAACATACATAAGTTTTTAAATTACACTTTAAGAAAAAATACAGCTGTGAAAACCGCATTCAATTTGGTATAGTAGCTTTTACGTAATGCCGGAACAAACATACAGATAGACAGACAGGCAAAATAAAAAAAAACATTATTTTGGTTTCTATTGGTCTTATTAAGACTACTCATATATATATATATATATATATATATATATATATATATATATATATATATATATATATATATATATATATATATATATATATATATATATATATATATATATATATATATATATATATATATATATATATATATATTACTACAATTTTATAACATTAGTAATAAAATCAAATTCAATAAAAATGTCAAAAAAGATTATAAAAATCTGTACAAGCTACTGCGTACTATACGCCCACGAAAATGCAGTTGTATCGTAATCTTTCAGCTTTTAAATACAGTTAATAAATCAAATCTCGTTAATTACGAAGTTTCACAGTTCCTTGCAAATTCACTGCGTCCAAAACAGCACAGTCACTTTGTAAATGACGTCGATCTTAATTCAGAATTTATAAATTGTGTTTAAATTTTAAATAGTTTTCATTCGAAACTTTAACACTTACCACTTGAATAATTATGAATACTTCAAATACTTATACATTATTAAGTTAGATGGTGTTTCGTACCAATTTATAAAAAAGAAGCAAGAAGTTTGCAACAATAACTTATGCAACTTAGAATGGCGATTAAACTGACGGCCAGCCTGATGAAAAATGGTAACCGTCGCCTATAGACATGAAGAGTGCAATGGGCACAATAGAGTGTATCGTTTCACCCATGATGCCTCCCACGTATTGCCATTCCTGAGGACTAAGGTGTTATACCTCTGTTATTTATTTTCAAATAAACAATTAATTATTATAAAATTTAATGACAAATTTTTATTTATTATTAAAAAAAAATATATTGGACTTAAAATATATGGCTAAATTGCTAATGAAAATTATAATTTTACTTATTTATTAGAGTTAAAAATATTTTTTTCATTATGGTAACAAAGACTTTTATTGAAGGCAAAGGACGAGTTCCTTTAATATTTCATCTCATACATATTTCCATATTCAGCACAGTTCTTGTTTCGCTTGAGAAATTTTGCTAAAAGTTGGTAGCTTATATATGTACACGTGTAGATGCGATGAATTATGATATCATACACGCGTATTATATATATAATTACATACATGGTGGAGATAATGAGCTAGGGAAATCTATATTTAAATATTAATTATTCATACGAAACGAGCTATTATTTGTATTAAAGAAAGAACTGCACTTGCAAAATGTCAATTATTTTTTAAATTTTATATATTTAATAAATAGCCATACTAATATTATAAATGTAAAAGTGAATTTGTTTGTTTGTTACCTTATAGCATCTTAACTACTTAACCAGTCACTATAAAATTTAGTATACGTCTACTATTCTTATTTATTTATTTATTTAACTCTTTATTGCACCAAAAACATAAAAATGACAACAATGACATACTCTACTGTATAGAATGGAGAAGATAAGAAACATGTCCCGGACGAAGGACGAAGTCGCGGGGAAAAACTAGTATCATTTAATATTTACACAAAAAATAAATATTGACTAATTAAGAATCTGTTTTCGGGAGTTTATTTATTTATTTATTTATTTTACTAAAATTACAGATAATGTGTATACCAGTACTAAAATTAATTACTTCAAAAATAACTTCGGCTATGTACATAAAAAGTACTATATTTATCTGAAACCGATATGTCATTATGTAGTATACCCATGGAAAGCAAAGGACCTATGTCAACAAACGACCAAATGACGTTCTCTGCTCACCATCGACCCCTAAGGGAAAGCGCGTAAGTTTATAATGATAAAAAGATTTTATATTTTTTTTTCCTAAGATCGTTCACCCAAATCGTATCAAATACTCTTCAACGTGGCCTGCCTCATTTCGTACGATAACGTGACTGGATTCTAAATATGGGCTTATGTTGAAGAACAGAGCTTTTTTCATTATACATAAATAGAGACATAATATCCACGGATAGATCATCACAAAGCTGCGTAATTTCAAAATGAAAATTATGTACTCTTGTCTATAAGCAAAATTTTCACTAGCAATTAAATAAATATCTATATTTGCAATAATTTTTTTTATGCAACTTAGAATGGCGAACAAGTCAACTCATTACATTTACCAACTCATGTTCATAAAGCTTAATATTTACTGGCAAAATCTGAAGTCTATCAATGTATTGAATTTTGCAATAACATACATATATATATATATATATATATATATATATATATATATATATATATATATATATATATATATATATATATATATATATATATATATATATATATATATATATATATACATATACATATATTATACTGGATTATAAATCCATTACTGATGGAAAATCATAATGTTTTAAACAACAGCGTAGAAATAAAATACCAGGTATAGCTTATTCCATTTTATTTCTACATTAAAACAAGGTTAGATCACGATTACCTAGTAGTTATATTTTATACCAGCAATACCTGATACTTTTTTATATGAGTAATAAAACTATAAAAATAAAAAGCTACACCTGCTATTAAAGCTTAACTAACAGGGTTAACAGAAGCCGGAAAAATGTGTGTTGGCGTTGCGCTTTGAAATAAATAAAACGCTTCATACTCGCTTTTATAAAGCTACGTTTGAGTAATATAAAAGCAGCCCTCACTTTGCAATTCACTGCGTATAAATTATGTAGTATATACAATGATATAGTGTATGTATACTGGGATAAAAATATATAATTGAATTATTTAATTAAATAAAAATAAATTACAGAATTAACTAATATCTAAGTATATCCTTTTAGATAAAAAACATCCAAATCGGTTTAGAACTGATGGAGTTACTGATGGTAGGGCACCAATGAGGGATGATAGGTGAAGATAAAATCAGGTTAGTTAGCCCATCGTGACGAATTCCACTAGAAATAAGCACGATGGTTTCCAGGTGGAACCGCGTAGAGGTCGACCTGATAAAGTATATTACTAGCAATGAGGCTGTTAGACCGCATTACTATCTTTTTCCCCCGGAGTTATGAGGTTACCTCATACATAAACATAAAAAAAACGAAATAAGAACCTCCTTTTTTAGAAGTCGGTTGAGGGAAGGGAAGATTTGGTCTTATTTTATTCATTAGCACACTTGTTTAAAGCCCG